GCTATCAAACAGCGCAAAAGATGGAAAACGAAAAATATTTTCCTACTTCCCTGAAAAATTTCGCCAATCAAACGCGCCCTAAGGGAAAAAATCACAGTGTATTTTCTATATTGCTTTATTGAATAATCTAATATTCACCAAAGAACGTTTGGACCAAAATGAACGAAAAGCAAGGAAATAATATCTAAAGCAATTAGGTGAATTTCCTACAGTTTCATCTCTGAACTATTGAATTTATCTCCTATAGAATCACTGAATTATAGAAATGTATCTCAAACATACACACAACAATACAAAAAAAATACAACTAAAAACTGAAAATAGAACCTTAGAATCATGACAAAAACAATCTACATCTTAATTTACATAACAACAACGTAAATAAATTATACAAAACAAATAATCTTCTCTTGGAAAATGAACGAAAAGCAAGAGAATAAGAAAAATAACCTTACCTTTTTCGACCCACCCAAGATCCGAGCCCTTTCGCGACGATAATCAACTCAGACAAGGAAAAAAGTTCGAAAATTAGAACACTGATAACCCGGGGAAAAAGGTAACAAAAGGAAGACGACGATTAACAGAGTTAGATCGACCCAACGAAGGTGATGAAAACCCAGAAATTGAGAGAACGAAAAATAAATCGAAGGAAAAACAAAAGCAAAAGAAAAAGGAAAAAAAAAACAACAACAAAGTATTTACATAGCAAGAACGAAAATAAATTACACAAAACGAACAATCTTCTCCTGGAAAATGAAAGAAAAGCAAGGAAATAAGAAAAATAACCTTACCATTTTCGACCCACCCAAGATCCGAGCTCCTTTCACTGCGAGAATCAACTCAGACAGGGAAAAAATTTCGAAAAGTAGAACACTGATAGACCCACCTAAGATCCGAGCCCTTTCACGACGATTAACAAAGCTATATCGACCCAAGAAAGGTGATGAAATCAATGGACGAAGAAGGGGACGACAGTGAAGAGATGAAGAGACAAAGCGAGAGAAACAGAGAAAACCCTAAGACAATAATCAATGGACGAAGAAGGGGGCGTCAGTAAAGAGATGAAGAGAGAGAGCGACATGGGACGACAACGAAGAGATGAAGAGAGAAAGCGAGAGAGAGAGAGAGAGAAAAAACCCTAAGACAATAATCGATGGACGAAGACAGAGACGCCAGTGAAGAGATGAAGAGAGAGAGCGACAGAGAAAACCCTAATACAATGAGGTTCCATTAGACGAATCGAAATAAACAACAAGGAAAAAAAATTAAAAACAGTGTCATTTTCGTAGTTTCTACAGTGCTAATATACTTCTGTCTTTTTATATAAGTAGTATACAAAGGAAAATATATCCATTTTGGTTTAAATTAATTAGCCTAATGCCATCTTTTCCAGAAATAAAATGAAACCAGTGAGGAGACAGCAAGATATTATTAATCACAATTAATACTTATAAAATTCCTCGGAAAGTCCGCAAATCCAGCCGTGTTAAAGACATCCATAAGTACACTGACTTATCACAATTTTACAGGTCCTATCACTGATAAGTTAGTCCTCCTATGAAACCGTCGTATCAGTTCGCACTATTTATTTTGTCTCTCTCTCTCTCTCTCTCTCTCTCTCTCTCATACGCCTCTCATTTGGATCTTCACAAAAGCAAAGAACATTGGAGAGAGAAAGGAAAAGAATAGTATAAAGTCCTCATTTTTAGAGAGAGAAAGTCATCTGAAACTCTCTCCAGTAGCCAAAAGTTTCACCCCCTTATTTTTTCTCTCTCTCTCCGTCTCCATATACAAAAACCCTTCCGATCTGTTCCTTTCTCTCTCATTCGTTCTAGGTACCAAACCCTCTACTTCTATCTCTACATCTCTTTCTCTCACATGTTTTACACATAGATATAAAAGCATACATTTACACGCGCGCACAAATTCACATGCAACACACAAACATGTGAAGGTGGAGCTACATGCATGCATGATTCTTATGTGTATGTATATGTGTGTGGATTTAAGTTTGGGGATGAATTTTGGGAATTTTTTTAAATGGGGTTTATGTGATTAATTTAAGTAGCTATGAGGAATTATTTTTTATTTATGTCTTTTTACAGAATTGGAAGTTTATATTTCTGTGGATTATTTTTTTTTACAATTTTTTAATTATTTTTCCCCCTTTTGACAGGTCTGGTAAGTGAAGGAAGCGAGCATGTCGTCTCTGAGCAGAGAGCTTGTGTTTTTAATACTTCAATTTCTGGATGAAGAGAAATTCAAAGACACAGTTCACAGGTAAGATTTCAATTTTCCAATTTTTTTTTGGGTTTAATTCTAATTTTTGGTTGTTGACAAATTGAGCAAAAAGAATTTTTTATAAAAAAAGTTGCGTGATTTTTGGATCTAATTATATTGATCAGTCAATTATACCTTGACTGTTCCTTACCCAACTAATCAGTCTAATTAATTGACTGAAAAAACCTGTTTCATGAGATTGGAATTTCCTTTTTTTTTTTTGAATTATATGGTTTTTTTTTTGTTGGGATTTATGCGTTTAAAGCTATTTTCTGGGCTTTTTTAATTTTAGTTAATTTTAATGGTTTATTTATGTCTGGTGATTACAGATTGGAACAAGAATCAGGTTTCTTCTTCAACATGAGATACTTTGAGGAAATGGTGGCAAACGGGGAATGGGAAGAAGTGGAAAAGTACTTATCTGGGTTCACTAAGGTTGATGATAACAGATATTCAATGAAAATTTTCTTTGAGATCCGAAAGCAAAAGTACCTTGAAGCCCTAGACAGGTGCTCTGGTTTCTTTTAAATTAATATCATTGAATGTCTTCGTCAGTATTAATTTTCATATTCTTGTGGATTAATATGAATTTAAATTCATTTGATTGTGTTTCTGAATTGCAGAAAAGATCGTCCTAAAGCTGTCGATATTTTGGTGAAGGACTTGAAAGTATTTTCAACCTTTAATGAAGACCTTTTTAAAGAAATTACACAGCTTTTGACATTTGATAACTTTCGGTAATGAAAGGAACTATCCCATTTGTTATTATCATCTTCGTCATTTATGGGAGTTTGCATTGCTGTATTTTCAAGGAGGTTTTGATGTAAATGCAATGACATGCAGAGATAATGAGCAATTATCTAAGTATGGAGACACCAAGTCTGCTAGGGGCATAATGCTTGCTGAACTTAAGAAGCTGATAGAAGCAAATCCCTTGTTTCGTGATAAGCTGAACTTCCCCAGCTTGAAGAACTCGAGATTACGAACACTAATTAATCAGAGGTTAATTTCTTCATAATTTGTGATGTTGGAATATTCTATCAGACTATGATCGCAACATTGCTATTTTTTTCTCTGTATTGCTTGCAGTTTGAATTGGCAGCACCAGCTCTGTAAGAATCCAAAGCCTAATCCTGACATAAAAACTTTGTTTGTGGATCATTCTTGTGGACCCTCACAACCAAATGGTGCTAGGGCCCCGTCACCCGTAACTGCTCCACTTATGGGTGCTGTTCCTAAGCCTGGGGGATTCCCACCCCTGAGTGCTCATGGTGTAAGTTGTATTAGTCAAGAAAAAGCATACTAATAGGGGTTATCCGAAACTTTCAAGATGTTTGAGACTGATTTTCTTGTTGTTTCTCTAGCCATTTCAGACAGCACCAGGTCCTCTGGTTACGTCTCCTGCTACATGGTTGCCTAATCCCTCTCAGGTTCCTCACCCTTCAGCTTCTTCTGGTCCAATTGGCTTCCTCCCTCAAAATAATGCAGGTATTCACAGTTTTCTCAACCATGTCCACCCGTTGATAAAATGTCAAAAGATACTTCCTTCCGTCTCCCACACTCTTTAGTTTATATTTAATTTATAACTAATACTGTTTGTTTATGTGCTAACTTTGCGGCAGCTGCCATGTTAAAGCGTCCTAGGACTCCTTTGACTAACCCAACTATGGACTATCAAACTGCTGATTCTGAACATGTTTTGAAGAGAACACGACCTATGGGAATGCCAGATGAAGTATGCATCACCATCTTAAATTCATCATTTATCTGCCGTTGTAATTGAAACCCAAGTCTCACTGTTAGAAATGATTTTGTTTTGTTCTTATGGATTTTCTATTTTGATTGTGCTAAGATGTGTGTTTGAGCATGCAATTGTCATCTTGTTTTTAGGTTGTCTACGTTAGAAAGTATATGTATATAATTTGCTAAGGGGTTTGAACTTCAAAGCTTCGACGTGTATATACCTTGTTCCTATGACCGAAAACGTTAATTTATACAAAATTTGTTCATTTCACAGGTCAATAATATGCCTGTCAATATTTTACCTGTTGGATACACTAATCAGACCCATGGGCAAAGTTCATACTCGTTTGATGATTTGCCGAAGGCTGTTTGTTTTACTCTCAATCAGGGCTCAACAGTCAAGAGCATGGATTTCCATCCAGTACAACAAATTCTGCTACTTGGTCAGCATTCTCTAGCTCAATGCAGCTTCTGTTTAAAATTTTATATCGTTTTCATAGTTATGTCTATGCTAATGCTACTGCTTCATGTATTTTCAGTTGGAACAAATTCGGGGGACATAATGATTTGGGAACTAGGCAGTCGGGAGAGGCTCTGTCACAGAAGCTTCAAAGTTTGGGATCTTGGAGCTTGTTCAATGGCGCTGCAGGTCTGCCCTTGAATGTTTCCAGCATAAGTGACTTGCATCCTTCCTCTTCTGCATATATTATTCGAATTATAAGTTGAACAATTCTCTTATAGTTATGCAATTCTGTATCAGACATCTCTGGCCAGTGACTACTCTGCGTCAATTAACCGTGTGGTATGGAATCCAGATGGCTCACTATTTGGTATGTTGTACAGAACTTTTCTTATATTACATTACCCAAGTCTCTCTCTCTCTCTCTCTCTCTCTCTCAGACTGAAGAAAGAAGCAATGTTTGGCACTTGTTATTCTTATGTATCTTGTTGATGCTTCAGGTATTGCATACTCTAAGCACATTGTGCATATATATTCCTATCGTGGTGGTGATGATCTAAGAAATCACCTCGAGGTTTGTGCATTCTGTATCTCACTAAGTTCTAATTTATGGATTTTTCATCTGAGTTACTATACGTTGACAATGATTTAGGCTTCTCTTTTTGCTGCTTTAGTATGTATAATGTGGATGAATCTTCTGACATACTGATTCATGTTACTTTTCAAGATTGAAGCCCATGTTGGGAGCGTGAATGATCTTGCTTTCTCTTACCCAAACAAACAACCTTGTGTCATTACTTGTGGAGATGACCGGCTTATTAAGGTCTGATACTTATATTATTGGTTTATGTAGCAGGAGGAGTTGACTTACTTTTCTTTCGTTTCGTATCATTCGCACATTTTTCGTGCTCCTCAGGTTTTTGCACGCATGTTTTTATTTTCTTTGATTGGGTTGGGGGTGTGAGGGTGGATGTGTAGAGGTTAACTTGCTGGTTTGGATACTTTATTTCTTTTTATATGTATTGAAGTTTTTATCTTCCACAGGTGTGGGATGTGGTATCAGGTGCAAAGCAGTATACATTTGAAGGTCACGAAGCACCCGTATATTCTGTATGTCCACATCATAAGGAAAATATTCAGGTATGATCTTTATTTCAGGTATATCTAATGGTAAACTGAAAATGCATCGATTGATTTCTCTTCTGCCTTTTCTCTCTTAGTACTTTTACTGATAGGATATAGAAACACGATAACAAGACCATCCAGAGGAATATTTCATTGAGCCTTGCAATGAATTGAGAAAAAGCTAACTATTCTTGGCCTGTTATGTTAGGAAAATTTTTTATTGTCCTTGAAAAATTGAGAGTCATAGTTCATTATTAAATATGTAAAGTTAACTTCAACCCCCCAACCCCACACATGCGAAAAGAAATGGCATCATAGAAGCATCTGTATGTAATTTATATTTATGACCTAGATGTTTCTAGATCTAGTGTGTTTCCTGTTTCTATTATAATGTGTTGGTTTCTATTTATCGTTGTTCTATCTATTTTTTTTTTCAATTTAGTTTATTTTCTCCACGGCAACCGATGGAAAAATAAAAGCATGGTTGTATGATAACATGGGTTCGAGAGTTGATTATGACGCGCCAGGTCATTCCTCTACCATTATGGCATACAGTGCCGATGGAACAAGGTCAAATAGAAACATTGATACCATTTTTTTTTTGTCTTAAATTTTTTAAGAGCCCAGAACTTTAATGTATTGATATACAGGTTGTTTTCTTGTGGAACTAACAAAGAAGGAGATTCATTCCTTGTGGAATGGAATGAAAGTGAAGGAGCTGTAAAACGTTCATATGCTGGTCTTGCCAAACGAGCTGTGGGGATTGTACAGTTTGATACTACCAAGAATCGATTTTTGGCTACAGGGGATGAGTTCAAGATCAAGTTCTGGAACATGGACAATGTCAGCATGTTGACAGCCACTGATGCAGAGGGTGGATTACCGGTAGTTGTCCTGTGTACTGAGTTAAACCTACCAGACAATATCCTTGCTTCTATCTACTAATAATTATTTTATCGTTTAGGCATCCCCTTGTATCCGATTCAACAAGGAAGGGATATTGTTGGCAGTTTCAACAAATGACAATGCCATAAAAATTGTGGCTAACGCTGATGGCATTAGGCTACTGAGGACAATGGAAAACCGTCCATTTGATGCATCTAGAATAGCCTCTGCTTCTGCTGTGAAGGTAAAATATTTATATTTTCCATTTTTTTATCATCCATTGCTTATGTGTATGTTTGCTGAAATGTATTATGTTTCTTCAGCCTCCACTGATGGGCACATTTGTTGCTGCTAGTGCTGCTGTTGGATCAAGCATTGTAGATCGGAGTGCTCCTGTACCGTCCACAATTGCAATGGTATGCTGCCATCAAAACTTTAAATAGGGAATCTCTGAACATGTAATCAATATCCTGGTTTCAAAGTACATTGTTAACTAGCGTGCACAAAATAGTTGCAATTCAAACTGATTCACATGATGGTGCTTCATCTATTCAGTAGTAATTAGTTTAAGAATTTATATTATAGTATTTGCAGTTTGTGGTGAAATTCTTAAATGATTTCTTTTAGAATGGAGATAATCGAAGTTTAGCAGATGTAAAGCCCAGGATTGCAGATGAACCTAGCGAGAAATCCAGATTCTGGAAGCTTACAGAAGTCAATGAGCCAGCACAATGTCGCTCCTTGAGACTCCCAGATAGTTTGACAGCACTAAGGGTATGAGTTAACTGTCTTCAACTATTTGAAGTTTCATAATGGATTTTGTCTAAAATTGGATTTAATTTCAAATTTGGTGCTTTCTTTCTTTATTTGAGGACTAACTGAAGCAGGACTTCCACTTGCAACTTTAACCCTGTGTTTCTTTGTTTCTTACATGCACAAAAACACACCCTCCCTGGGCTCATACTGCACGAAGTAGCTCTCTTTATTCCAAACAGTAATTTTTTTCTATCTTTACTTAAGACAAATAATAATCAATGACTAATTACTACGATTCAAAATTTTAAATTGAATATTAATTATGTCTTTTTTTATCTTGACACTTCAAGTAGTTGGAGTAATTAAATGAATGCAGACACTTTTTTAACATCAATTTCCTTGCCCTCACATAAGTCATACTTAAGAGCTTCAGCCATTCAATTAAAGGCAACATATTCTCTAGATTGTCTCTTAAGATAAGGTTATGGAACACTTGAGAACTGGAGAGAGATTGAAGCTGTTAGTTAAAAGTTGTTTTATTCCCCAAGTTCACCTAATCGTAAAATTGCTTTCAGTCCACTAAATTCTTAGCTTATCCTTTATTATCGAGTACGTCTTGAAGTTTAACACATGCTTTTAGTATTTTGTTTCTTTCTCAAACTTACTGAGCCATGTTTTAAAATCAATTCACCAGGTTTCAAGATTGATATACACCAATTCAGGGTTTGCCATATTGGCTTTAGCTGCCAATGCTGTTCACAAACTCTGGAAATGGCCAAAGAATGACCGTAATACAACAGTGAAGGTAATTATATATTTTAAAAGAAAATTTCCTGTTTCCAACTATTTTTCGTTAACACAAGTTGCTTCTAATTCAACTTTTGCAGGCAAGTGCTAATATTGCACCGCAACTTTGGCAACCTGCTAGCGGAATATTGATGACGAATGATATTAGTGATACGAATCCTGAAGATGCCGTTCCATGCTTTGCATTATCTAAGAATGATTCTTATGTTATGTCAGCTTCGGGAGGAAAAATTTCTTTATTCAACATGATGACATTCAAAGTAAGTGGCTTATATCTGCTTATGCCTTGCATTTACTCTCAAATATATCTAATGCATATGAACAATATTTGTGAATTCTATGTTCAACAATTTATGCTATTAAGTAATTGCACACGTTCTATGTTTCACTTCCCTGGTTAACTTGCTTTCTTGATTTTTTTTCTTTTTTAACAGACGATGACGACGTTCATGCCTCCTCCACCCGCAGCAACATTTCTGGCATTTCATCCACAAGACAACAACATCATAGCCATAGGCATGGATGATTCCTCTATCCAAATATATAATGTCCGGGTTGATGAGGTAGACAATGAGTGGTGCAAATACTCGTTTAAATTTGTGAGCCAAACAATTTTATGAGCCGAGCCATTTTTTATTGTTGTATGCTTTTCTTGCACAGGTCAAGACAAAGCTCAAAGGTCATCAGAAAAGGATAACTGGTCTTGCCTTCTCTAATGCGCTTAATGTTCTTGTATCTTCAGGAGCTGACTCTCAGGTAAGGTGATTTTGACATGGATGCTTCTGCAAGTGGAAAACTATGGTTCCTACTCATGTATATTCCTGTTCTTTATGCTATCTTATAACATCTATACCAGGATCACCAAATTGGGGACTGCATAGTGGAACTTGGAATCTAATTTAAATTTCTTGGGTACATCGTATAGGCTTCTTTATACGATATCGTAAATTTGAAGTTTTACTCTTTTTCCCTCAATATGCCCAATTTTTTCACATTTAACATTTATCCTATTTATCGCCGTGATTTTTCTTGTTCTTTGAAGTACATGAAATCGTGCGTCTGGCTTTGTGTATTATTTTCAGCCAATGATGCCTTTCTGTTCCCGCAGTTGTGCATTTGGAGCACTGATGCATGGGAGATGCAAACAAGTAAATTCTTGCAGATCCCACCTGGTCGTGCAGCTTCTCCTCTTGCAGATACGCGCGTACAATTTCATCAAGACCAAACACATTTAGTAGTAGTCCATGAGACACAGATAGCGATATACGAAGCACCCAAATTAACATGCCTGAAGCAGGTGTGACATTTAACATTTTAGCTTTTGACTGATATGGTTGTTGGTATGTTGCTTGTTGTAGGTTTATTCTGGTTAATGCACCTTTATGCATTACTGCTGTTGCGTATAAATATATAGTGTTAACTACTGTGCTTTCCTGCTGTTTTTGTGTAAATTAGCATTTTCTGTGGTAATCTATGACAGGTCCCGTAAGAAAATTAAAACTACATGAAAATCGAGTTGCTCATGTGAACATATAATTCTTAAGTTCTTGCTAAAATTGGTGTCTATCATTATTCTGATGACTGACCTGGTGATTCTTTCTTGGCTTCCGGTGGTAATGACTTACATTTTTCTTTATGTGAATAGTGGTTACCCCTAGAAGCAAGTGGCCCTATCACATATGCTACATATTCTTGTGATAGCCAATCCATATATGTCAGTTTTGAAGACGGAAGTGTTGGTGTTCTTACTTCTTCAACACTGCGGTTGAGATGTCGAATTAATTCCTCTTCATACATAACTTCCAATCCAAGGCGAGTGCTGAAGAAATTTTTTTATTTATCTCAATATATTTTTGAAAGTTTCAACGAGACAATCACCAGAAAAGATTGCAATCATCTCCTTTTTTTCTGTTTCCTAATTATATGACTGTAGTTTTGCAGTTTAAAGGTCTATCCCTTGGTTATTGCGGCACACCCATCAGAGCCTAATCAATTTGCGTTAGGACTTACTGATGGTGGAGTCTGCGTTCTTGAGCCACTAGAATCGGAAGGCAAATGGGGCACCTCGCCTCCACAGGAAAATGGTGCTGGTCCAAGCACTTCTGGTGCAGCTAGTTCCGATCAACCTCAGAGGTAAACAAACAGGTCCATGCACACAGTGGCCTCTCCCGCAAAACAAACGAAAGTGTAGCTTTGTGTGTACGTGTACCATGTTTCCATTGTTAGTTATCTCGAGGGAGAAGCTGCAAGATTAGATGATACACTTGTAGGATGTCAGCTTCGTAGGGCTAGTTTAGAGGGCAGGAAAGGATGGAAATGATTATAATGTAGGTTGAGTCGATATGTCTCTCCTTTAGGATGAAATAGATATTTGGGTTTATGGTGAAAGTTACAACAGAAAGACTTGTGAAGTTGTTTGAAGGCCTCCTTTATGTCAGCAAGGAAGGATGAGCTTTATCTATGTCTCTAACTGCTTTTTTCTTTTGTTTCTCTTGATGTGCTGTAAAATTTAATGTATTCATTTGATTTTTTCTCCCCCAAATAGTTACTGATTTTATAAAATTGTCAATCTACAGATATCTGCCTTTTCCTTGATTATTCTCCTTGTTCTAGTTTTAACAAAATCTTGTGTGTTTTTCTTCTTTTCGTCCAATCGGTTTTCATGTACCAATAAATATGAGCTTTCTAAGCCTTTTTTTTTCAGACATAGTGCTTGTTTGGTAGAGATTTTTGGGGAAGAATTGATTTTTGAATAGTGATATGATGGAAAATGTGTGGTTGAAAATGAAGAAAATATTATTGACGTGATGAAAAATATTATTTTATTGAAGAATGTGTAGTTGAAAATGAGAATTGATTTACTGTAAAATTTGAGAATAAAAAACAAACACCCCCTTATTACGTATGATAAGGGCTGGTTTAGTTCCAAGTATTTTGAACCATTTTTTGGTATTTTCGTTTCTCGAGTCATTTTGTATCCCTATGAGTACTTTAGTCTTTCGCTCTTGTCAATATTAAATATGGTAAATTGTACTCGGATCTTGAACTTTTGAAGATTGTGACGATGAAATCTCGAACATTTGATTTCGGGCTTCCAAGATTTCAAATCTTACAAATGTCTGCACCTAGATCCGTTTTTGATGGGAACGGTAATTTCATTGTTAAAGGTCAATTCTTGAGCAAAACGAATATTTTACCCTAATTTAATTTTAAAAATTAAACTAAAGGTATTTTTTCTTTTTAAAAAAAAATTAAGAGAAGGAACGCACCCACCTGCCACCAACCCTGTCTCTAAATACATTTTTTTGGATCAATCTATATGTACATAATCAGGGGTGGACCTACGCAGGGGCCTGGGGGGCACGTGCCCCCTTAGATTTTGAAGGTTTTCTTTTTTGAATATAAAAAGAAAAAAATTCTAAACCTACCTCTCATTTCTACTCTCCAGACTCTAGCAACCCAGCTTGAGCTTGCCTCTCCTCTCTCTCGGACAGTCAGACTCTCCCACACCGACACAGGCATTTTTCCCGTTTCTCCTCTCCTCTCTCCAAAAAAAAAAAAAAATCTGAATCCTAGCTCGTCATGTCTCCCACACACTTTCGGCGTTTCGTTACCGAGCTCCGCCCGTTCCAAGCTCCAACTCCCGTCCCCTTCGCACTGCTCCTGTCAGCGTGTGACGAGGTAAGTTCTCGTTTTCCTCCTGCAGTATATAATTTATTGGTTATTTCTAGTTCTATTGTTGTTATGCTAACCAGACAGAAATAACGCGAAAGTGTAAAACAAGTTTGAGTTAAAAGTATTATATACTGCAATTGTGATTTGTGAAGCTTTATTTAGGGATTTAGCGTTTAGGGATTTTGATGAAACTTTATTTATTGAGTAGGCAATTGTGATTTGTGAAGCTGTTGAGTAGTTATTTTTCATTCTGGGCAATTGTGAATCTGAACATCTAGCAATGAACCAAGCATGGTAGAAAAGGAATTATGTAGCCAATCCCAAATTTATAGGAAAATAGGCTTAATTCCTCATCAGCAACAAGAAGCTATGGAATTTATACTGATAACTGAAGGTGGAGAGGGAGAGGGCCAGCCCATCCATTAGACCAATAAAACAAATTCAACAAAAACCATTTTAAATCCATAGCATCACCAGATAAACAAATAACTTGCTTCAATTTTTCGTCACTTTGTGAAAGTTATATTGTGCCCCCTAGTTTCGAAAGTCTGCGTCCGCCCTTGTACATAATTATTGTACATAATGGATTACATAGACCCATGTGGAAGAAATCTGGCCGTGGATGTGAAGTGTGAAAAAGTCAAAAATTGTAGACTACCGATAAATGCACGCCACATGTCAATTATGTAATGTATTATGTAAATGATTATGCACTTGTAGCATGGTCCCAGTTTTTTTGTATTTTTGGACGGCAGGTGAACTCATATTTGGTTGAAGTGGAAAAGAAGAAAATTGTAATTTTTTTTTGTTTATTCTTGATCTCAGACCTCATCTTCTTACTCGACACATGCCTATCGTTTTGAATCCTCTTGCCGAATGTTGTATTGATTTAAAGTGAGCACTATTTATTAGTTCAAGGCAGAAGAAATGGACGATCTAATAATCTTCAAGTGCCTCGATTTTTTAGTCTTGCTATGAATCATTGAAGAAGTGTAGGCTTTAAGCAAACTAAGGGTAATGATCATTTTACACAAAATTTAACATTTTAATTAGATGCAAATGTTTTGTAAGGTTTCGTATGCAGGTGCTAAAAATCAGAGGTTCATGATCCTCCATCATCACAACTCTCAAAGGTTTGAGACCCAGGTGCAATTTCTTCTTTTTGCATTCGTAGAACTGTCTGCGCAATCCAATCCTCGTTCTAACAAAACCTGCAGGAGGAGGAGCCATCAAAGTACTAATCCAAATTAATACACCCCATAGTGTAAAAGATTTCAACATTCTTTGTTTAACTTCATTAGCAAAACCTTGAAAACGGACCTCGTCTATAACTAATAATCATTGACCTGGCATTAGCACTGCTGCTGTAGCTCTCTTAATAGATTCACAAGCTTTCAGCAGATCCGGTTCTGTATGAGCAGCAGAGACGAATAATCTAATTCCTACTGGAAAATGGCATTCTGTCTGTAGTTGATCTTTTTGAAGTCGTAACAAAAGTGGAGTCTTCTTTCAACACCTGCAAATTACATCAATTTTACACCCTGGAGCAGAAATCATTAATCGGGACAAGAACTAGCAGAAGCCCAACTAGTAATAGGTTTCTTGAAGGGGCAAAGAACAGTTTTGGCTAAGCTTAAAGAAAAGGTATAGCAACTTTTTTAACTGTTCTACTCCAAACATATTTGACAACTTACTCTCTCCCTTTTTTTTTTTAAAGAAAAAGAAGTTATCTTTTTGGGAGAAATTTTTACCTTGTCAAAAGAAGTTAATAACTCATATTCAATTTTGACTCATAAAAAATATTTATTTTAACTAGAAGTGAACTTCTAACATTAGCCAATATTGCTCCAAAGACTACTTACGCGATAGCAAATGTCTTCGAGCACTTTAAGGTCGCCCTTTACAGATCCTGTAGACTTGTCAAGCCAAAGGAAAACAATTGGTGATTGTGGATCACTCATGATCTCAAGGATTTATACATCTGATAAACCTGGAATTTTACTTAAGGATTATTCTAGTGATACATTACCACTTACACAAGGGTGTCCATAATGGACACTCGGCACCTCCTCATTGGAGGGAGTGTCGACCCCACCGACCCTCCCTCCAATAAGGAGGCGCCGGGTGTCCATTATGGACGCCCCGATATAAGAGGTGATGTACCTCTAGCATCTCCCTTTACTTAATATTAGGAACTAATAATAATTCTTCCCCGTGATTAAAATATACTACCAAAATAAGAAAGGAACCTTCACCCGTCAACCCAAAACCAATTGAGAGAAAAAGGCTATGAGTAGTCAGAGGTGGTAACCAATTCTACTTGCATGTCAATGAAAGGGAAGGAAAAGAGAAAGCAAGAAAGAATCAAGAAGTAGAACAGAAGTATTTCTTTTAGAATAGATACCTGATAAACAGCTCCGACCACAATATAGCACCTAACTTTCTTAGCTCACCTATTTTCCTGGATAATTATCTCCAGAATACTTCGTAAAGACTCCATATTATTGTGCTTGAAATATAAAATTGTACATCTAGACAGGTGTACCTGCAATGTAGGATTTGATAGCTCTAATTGCAGCCTGATTTTGATTCGAGATTACCATTGAAGATTATATTTTGATTTGTCTGCTTATAGAAATGGGATCGAGCATCTTCATTGAATTGAGGAGGCGCCATGGGCTATCTTTTGGACAATCTGGAATGTTGGGCCGAGTCTGTTCAGAACTTACTGTACTGGGCATGTGTGGGTCTAACAACGGTATCCGCTCGATGGAAATTAGTATTAGTTTGACCGATAAATATTGAAGTGGAGATCCCAAACACTCAATTATATATCAAGTTGATCTGTAATTTCTAAATTTAGACATTATGATCCTCAGCTTTTTATTGTTGTCACACAAGTAGCACGAGAAGAGGTTGTCGAACAAAAAAAAGCAGTACCAAAAGACAACAGTCTAAATCTTACCTAAGAATATATTATTTTTGTTGAAAAGATGATTGTATTCTTACTTTAAATAAACAGAAGGAAAAGAAAATAAGGAAGAAAAGTGAAAAGAAGGCTTATGCTAGAGCCAAATGAACGACAAGGTTGGGGTTGCAAACAAGGGAGCAAGGTAGATTGGGAAGGGATATGATCTAGCCCTTGTTTGAGCTCCATTCTTGGAAAAAATGTATTTTGAAATAATATTTTTTTTGAAAAATGTGTGGTTAAAATAATATAAAAGTTTTCGATTTACGTGTAAAAATATTTTATTGAAAAATGTATGATCGAAAATGAGTTTTTGATAAAATGAGGTTCAAACAAAAGCCTAGTGTGTTATAAGTTACAATGTAAAGATGCGGGGCATGAAGTACGAAAAAGTGCGAACCATGGGGCATTTAGGCTTCTATAAAAGTGCCCTTTAGGAGGTTCAGTGCATACTACTTAGTACACACAACTGGATATTGTGTAAAAAATATAGGCTATTTATTATATAATTGTACTGTATAGCATAATTCATACGTTGTATTTTAAATTTACAATTTATTATAGAATGTTGAAGTTTTATTGTAATAATAAGTTATTAAAAATTTAAAACTATATGTCGAGAGAGAGAGAGAGAGAGAATAAAATTTGAATGAAATATATAAATTAATAATATTGCTAGCCCCTTCAAATTGAAACACCAGATGACATCCAAAAGCTCATTATCTAGAACAGGTAAATGCTAACAAAAGTTTGTAATCACAAGAAATATAGATATGAGAAAAGAAGTCGAAATGGCTCTGGTGGCTGAGCTTCCTTGCACAGGTGATGGAGGGGTGTTGCCGCCGGGGGATGACTTTGGGGACGGACTGCTTGTCGATCCGGTGGTGGAAGCCCTGACTGCTAACTGTTGTCCTTGGATGCAATGGTCATCATAATTGAGGCAAATGAAATAAGTGTCACCAGCATCAAGTGTGTAGTTTGCTGGACTGCTTACTTTGACATTCAGAGCACGATCACCATTGCAATCACCAAAATCTTCGAATGACACCGTGCCCACCGAGTGTCCACTGGTAAAATTGAACACTACAAGAGAGATTCTCCATATGAATAGGTATACTTGGGATTCAAAAATTTATACATTAAACGACAAAACTAAATCTCATTCTTGATACATTTAGCTAGAGTCAAGAAACACGACTTTGACAGATTCATTGCTAAATCTACATTAATGTCTAAAACATTTATATCTTTAGTAATTGCAACACGTCATGTTAATTTTAAAAGAATTACACACACAAATACGTACTGCATACAGGGGGGATTACCAAGAACGTCTCCAGCCATGAATTTATGTTTAGCAGCCCAGTCGGCGTATGCCACGTCACCATAAGGAGGAACAGTCCACCCTAAACTGTCACCTACAATATATGTTTTCGCGGTGGAGACTGGTGCCAGTGCGGTGGCTACCACCACTATAACCACCACAAGATAGGCCATTTCTACCTTCAGTGTTTGTGCTGTCCCTCTAATCAATATTTTACCTTGTATATAGAACGAACAAGGAAAATCTTAGCAATTGGCTGGCCTTGTGGAGTTGTCAGAGGGGAGTTTTCATAAGAAACCAAGTGGAAATTCAATTGGGCATCAGCATGAGTAGAAGTCAACACGGCAAGAAGATTTAAAATTTTTGATAAGCACGTTATGCTTAAAATATTTAAAGAGTTACCAGTCTTAACTTTTGATTTAATTTTATACAGTTGATGAATTAGATCAAGTTCCATTATGTGCATAAAACTCAGGTTCTTCAGCCAAAAATAAATTCGGAGGCTCCCCAGATTGGTTAGAACTTAGACATGAGGTAGATGACGGGCTCATTGGAGTTTGGACTACTCCAACTAATAATCTCACATTTTGGGACGGAACCTCAATGATAAGTTCATGAGAAACATTTTAATGATCTAGTGACCCCCACCAGATAAATCGGATTAAGAGGAAAGACGAGGACGATTCGTCACCTCATCATGTAACAGTTTATTTTCTCCGTATCTAAAAATATTGTTACATGAGAAATAGATTCACGATTGATGTGGCTACCATTATGCTCGAGCATAATGAACTCGAGCTTCACCCGTTCTGTGCAACACGCCCTTATTCCTCGGGTAAGCACGCGGTGCTCAAGCATGCCCCATGATGCTCGAGCATATACGCCATTAGTTTTGATTGGTTTGGTGGCAACAGTCCAGAAGATGTGTGCCCGAGGATGCCCCCAAATATTGTTGCGTCCTCGAGCCTTTTCCTTAGCTCAAAGGTTCCGTTAGACATAGGACCGATTTTACTCTTTAAGAATTCTAAGTCTATCAAAATACCTTGAGTTAGGATTCCTGTGCCACGAAGGAGTCTACATTAATGAGTGTTGTAGTCAAATTGTGACTAGATCTATAGTTGCAGAACAATACACATCTCAAGTAGAACTCCCTAGGATAAAGACACGTAGCAAACCAAGTTCAACCAGGAATGAGCTACCTACATCTATAAATATAAGACCACAATTCATTATTCAGGTACGTTTTTTACATACAATTTCAGCACTCAAGCTTTTTCATCTTCTCTCTCTGAATTAAGCATTGGAGGGACGACAATGACACACTTCGACGCCTTTGTTTCAGATACCAGAAGATCACGTTCTTGCTCATTCTCAGTCGTCAAACTCAGAATTCATCGGGTGCGATTTTTTGTAGCATCAACGATCTTGAAAGAAATATCATTCTTATTAATATCTAGGATAATATGCGTTTGTTATTATTGCTGAAAGTAATAAAATTTTTAAAAAGTTAATTATCACGAGAGAGAGATGAAAAAATAAGCAGTAACGTCTGGGGTGGCTGAGCATCCTTGCACGGGTGGTGGCTCGGGAAAAGGATTGGTTGTGGAAGATCCTGCGGGGGGATGCTGTGACTTCTAACTGTTGCCCTTGGATGCAATGGTCACTTATGAGGCACATGAAATAATTGTCACCACAATCTAGTGTGTAATTTGCCGGACTATTTATTGTAACACTGATTACATGACGAATGTTGCAGGCATTGAAATAAGGGTAAAATCATTCGTACACGGGGGTTTACACCCCCGTTTACACTCCCCTCACATGAGGGGAGGGCCCACGATAAATAAAATAATCGTGCCCCTCTATTGTGAGGGGACAGGTGGGCCCCAGTAAACGGGGGTGTAAACCCCCATGTACGAATAGCATGGTCCAATAATCCAATCACTCTACCACTGTCTGTCCTCTAGTAAAATTGAAGACTACAACAGAGATTGTTCATTTAATACATTAAAAGTTCAGACAGGAATAAAATCACGACATATTAAGTCCCAGCTTGATGTAGATTAAAATCATATTTTTAGTAAATTTTGATAAAAATTGATGAAATGTGTAGTTGAAAAGTTGTGGATCCCGTGAAATATGTGGTTAAGATTAATTGTAGATTTTAATTTGAGATTTTACTTTGATTTTAATCCAAACCAAATAGGGGCTAAGTTTTGGGATCAAATATCACGAGGTTGGGTTTTTGTTCTTCCATTTTGTAATTCACTAAATTATTGTTTCTTTCTCCTTTTCTATTTGAAAATGAGAATAGTTTTTTTATGGGTTCTTGTTGTTTGGATTTTGTTAAGGCAAGTGTTTTGGGATTCAATCTTGTAACTTTTGTTTGTTGATGGATAACATTCCAAAGCCCTGTTTGGGTGAGATTCTTAAAATTCTACGGTAAATCAATTCTTATTTTCAACCACACATTTTTCAATAAAATATTATTTTCCATCATATCAATAATTTTTTCTTCTTTTTCAACCACACTTTCCCATCATATCACTATTTAAAATCAATTCTTCTCCCAAAAATCCCTCCCAAACAAGCACCAAATATGGGATAGGTTGATTTGGGGCAGAACACATTATCTTCATTCGTGATTGGATATGGACTCGAGATGGTGGCAAAGCTTGGTTTAGGTGATGGCTTTATTTGGCTTGGGAGATTGAAGATGATGGGTGATTGTGGTGAGGTTGATAGAGAATTTTCGATAGTATGTGGGTAGGAATTTCTGGGGGTGGTGTTTGCGCTTAGATGGTGGTCAGAGGTGTTTGTGGGTGTGTGTGGAGATGGTTATTGGTGTGGGTGTGTTTTCAATTTTCTTTTTCATTTTTTTCTGTTTCTTTATTATTACTATTTTCTTTTCTTTTCGTTTCTTTTGTTTTTTTACTTTTTCTTCTTTATTAATTTGTTTTAAATCATAGAAAGGCTACAATGATCATTTTGTTAAAAAAAATTACTTTTTAATTGTCAAACTAACTGTTTCTATAACAAAAGGACTTCATGCATAGACGTTATATAAGTGTATGGGCGACATTTTCAGCCCCAAAATGCATTTTGTTATCATATCAAGCCATCAATTCTTACAAGTGTCATATTTGTGAGTAATATTAGTGCCAATTTTTCGATTTTACCCTCTTGTAGTTCAGAGTGCTTTTGTGGGAAGAGAAACCCGTTGGACACAAGGGCAATTGTGAAATTTTATTTTCAAATGTCTTAAATTAGTACATGTCTTAGTCAAAATTGTCATAATAAATGAAGAAGGGACTTTTAAACTGTCACTTTTCTTCCAAAAAAGAGGTGAAAAATCTGGCCCGAACAAGCGCTTAGACATGCTGGTGCTACAATTCAAAGATTCAAAACTCAACTATCATAGCTTTCAAATGTACCGAGATTTAACCGTTAGTCTTGTGAGTTTTCTTGTTCCAATCAAACAACTAGAGAGAGAGAGAGAGATAGTCTTCTTTTTGCAAGTATTTTGTTGAAATTTGATTGTCCAATGATAATGTTGCTACAGTGATAGAGCCAATGACAGATTCAATGGCAAAATAGACACGTGTCAATATATGATTGAACAATTTGAAAAAAAAAAAACACAACACAACAGTACAACACTCAATCCCAACCTGTTGCAACACTCTATCACCTCACCTCGTGTCATGACCCTGGTCAAGAAGCATTATTCTAATGGGGTGAGTTGTAAGCAACACTCAAATTTTTTTATAAACAAGTAATTCTTTAATTTCATTTTAAATTTTTCGACATTTCTAAGCCAACGGGCATGAAACTTGGGCCGTACAGAACCTGCCTTCGTAGGCGGGTCAATACACTACACCTCCTTTAATAAAAAAAAGGATGAGTCACATTCTTGACAGCTCCCACCTGCTCTACCCTGAACCTTGGTGAAGGAAGTAAATCGCAGATTATGTCTCCAATGGTACAGGGTAGAAGGCTGATTGTACCCTTACACTTACCCAAGGGCCAAATCCATATTTCAGGATTCGAACTCTTGACGCAGCAGCCTCAAGCAAAGATAGAGTTTTTCTACCTTCTCTTTTTACCACTTGGAGATGTGCTCTGAGGGCCACTACACCTCCCTTAATAGGTTGGTCCTTGGATGGGCTTTTAACGAGTTGACTTGTCGCCAATTGTTGAACTAGGTTTTTAAGTTTAATTTCAAAAATCAATTTAAGGTTTATTTGTACAAAATTCAGGTTATAATTCCACATTTTAATATTAATAATATTATTATAAAATTAAATTAATCCATATATCCACCCTACTCCACCAGATTTCACTCCCTAACCCTAATCGTTTTCTCCTTTCCTTTTCTCTCTTTACCACACACCACATCCTGGAGGCACCGTCGTTGTATTGTTCATGATGTTGTGACGATGTCGCTCTAAGAGCTAGTTAAACTGTTGTATAAAGACGATGGCGTCATCTGTGCGCATCGCTACTCCAGCTGCTGTGAGCACTGCGCGATGCTGCTGTTGCGACGCTCGCTCGATATTGTTGCACAGCAACGTTAGCATAGTCTACACGCATTGTCGTTGTAGCAGCGACGCTGCCACTAGTGGTGTTTGTGATGACAGCCTGAGTCCGTTGGTACCGCTACAGTTGGTGGTTTTTGTAATGTTTTGCGGTTGGTGGAGTGTGCAATGGTTGTGCACTGATTTTGGTGGTGGTGTTTTCAATTGATGGTGATGGAGTGGAGATGGTGATAATGTTGGCTGTGCTTGTGGTGCCAGTGCTAAAGGTGGTGGTAGTGTGGTGTGGTGTGGGATGGTGGTGGTAGCGGCTGTGGTGGTGGTGATGGTGGTGGTGGTGGTGGCGACGGTGCTGTGGTATGGGCTGATGGTTATGACCAATTACTTGGTTGATTGTGACCAATAAATAATATGTTACATGAAAAATGTTAGATTCCGACTAAATTTATAATCGCGACTCACAATTTGTTAAGTTGTGGCCAATTAATTTAATAATTGGTGATCAATAAGTAACTATGATCAATTAATTTGATAATTTGTGACCGTGGAATAACTTGTGACTTGAAATTTGTGATTTGTGACCTTAAAATAAGTCGTGTGATTTGTGATCGAAAAATAATATGTGACATATTAATTTG